GGGGGGGGGGTCCCAGCTCTACCGTACTTTGTACTGGTCAGGTCACACTGACAGTCCTTCTGAGAGCCTGCGTTACTTCTGGGTTATTTGTACTTACTCTTGAGTCCTCCTGCCCCTAGTTCTGACAGGGAATCGATGCATTTGGATTAGAATCCACATTCCTAAGGAAGACCTCACTCTGCCCCTTAGAATAATTTGACCCTCAACGGTAATAGAAATTTGAGGTCCCAGCTACTAGGTCCTGCTGGTCTCCTGTCGTCTAGGTGTAGCTTCACGCACAGAGACCAGTGCTGGTTGCCACAATCAGATGCCTCCAGTGGCAAGGCTGGGGAGGAAACTCATGACAAATGCACTCTTGGAAACAATCAGAGCTGCTAGGCGGAAAGTAAGAGGACACAGGAGAGCCAGAGAGCTGGCTTCAAATCGTGGGGAGGGACGGAGCAAGAGAAAGAACACTTATTAAATGCTGACTGGGCTCCAAGCTTTGTATTGCATATCTAATCAAATGCCCGGAGCAACTCCGTGGAAGCAGACAGAACTATGGCATGTGAGTAGGTGGGGAAGAGACAAAGTGACTTGCCCAAAGGCCCTACGAGCCACGGAGCCCAGGCTGCCATATCTTTTGGCTTCATCTCACTACCACTGTAGCAGGACTGTGTGATGCAGGCACAGTATCAGAGCCTTTTCATGTCGAGAGCTAGTAAAATGGGGTGGACGCTATCAAAGGTGTCCAGGGTGTCTAAGCGAGTGCCTGATGATGATCACGAAAGACTTTAAACAGGCGATTTATTTATGCCTTGTTGGAGGCTGGAAATGGAGTATTTAGGAAGGTACCTTCCAGCTTTGAGATTCTGTTTCTATACTTTGGGGTAAGATATGCTCTTCAGGCATATTGAGCGATTTCTCTTGCTTGTATTTTTCACTTTCTCTTCTGTCTCCTTCTACTCCTGCAGATATTCTGCTCTGGGACCTTGTCTTTTTTAACAGGAGGGACGTGGGAGCTGGCAGTTTGGCAGCTGGGAGAACAGAAAGACCATACTATTCTCTCTGGTGGGTGAGTCTAAATTTTTATCAGTTTACTAAGGAGACGTTGTTACACTCTAATGAGGCAAACCTGTAAAGATTACAAGAAGAAGCAATCACATCAAGCCTCCTTCCCTCTCCTCCAACTCCTTGGTAACCAGGCAAAACCCGAACCCCTGAATGTAGGATTTAAGGCTGGGGTTGATTTAACATGGATATTCGATCCCATCACGATGGGGACTTGATAGAGAAATGAGAAATGTTTGAAAACGAAGGTATTATTTCCTACACCCCTGAGTTTGGGAATAGAGACCTATGTTAAGCTTGGCAGACGGAGGAGGGCATGCCCGGCCAGCAGCTACACCAACTGGTCGCAAGCCTGAAGTTTTTGGTCCTCTGCTGCCCCTGTGTGGACATGGAGGGAAATAACAATTTAATATTTCGCTTGTGGCCCACGTAAAATGGGACTTGAGAGAAAAGAAACCATCCCTAAGAACTACTGGGGGTTTATGACCACTGTGAGGGAGTCAGGAACTGTGGCTATCTCCAGCAAGACGGGGGTTCCCAGAAGGGAGGTGGGGAACACCTACGAGCTGTCAATGACTTCACAAGGCTCTTCTCTTGTCCACCGTCTTTATTTCTCCTGGAGACACCTGCAGCCAGCAAGTGAGCGACCCTCTAAAGACTCCCAGCCATGCCCTTCTGCAGCTTCTGGCCGCAGCCAGCGCCCACGGGCACAGCGCCAATCCTCCCACACTTCCTCTTCCTGTGCTTGGAGTAACACGTCTGTGGGTTTCTCCCTCTGGTCTCACAGCTTTTCACACCCTCTCTGCACCGTCTGTCTCTACACCACCATCTACACACAAGGGGACACCATCACGTTCGTGCCTGCGGCATCCCCGATTCCCTGCGCAGGCATGGGGCAGAGATGGCACTTTTGTTTCGATAAGGGAGTGAGGGGGGACACTTGGGCACAATGGGGGGAAGGGGCTCTGGGTCACTGCAAGCAACCTGGCTGGAATCCAGGGTGTCTGAATCCCAGGACTGCCGTCTACCTACACCATAGCTGCTTCCTTCCCTGGTCAGCTCCCTCCTGGGCACCCAGCACATCACCCGACCTCACTCCCCATCCCCTCCCAGCAAATAGCAGCAGTGGTGGCAGCCTCAGCCCTGTCGCTCTCCCGCCTACGGGAGACGGTGGGACATCTGGGCCTCCTCCCTCCAGCCGGAAGCCAGGGACCCATGCACCTGGCCTGACTTCCTTTCCTCTCCCCTCATGCCTCCAGACCCTGCCGCAGCCTGCGGTCCAGGGCCAGGAGCTGCCTCAAGAAGCCCCGGTTGGGGATGATGCCTCGGTGGTCCTTGACTTTCTTGATGGCCTCCACGAGGGTCAGGTGGTGGTACAGCATGAGGTAGGCCAGGACCAGTGTGGCGGACCGGCTCACGCCCACGGCACAGTGCACCAGGATCCTCCCTGCGAGGACAGACACACGAGGCAGCTGTGGGGCTGTTGGTGGGGGGTGGAGAAGGCTAGGAAGAGAGCTGTAGGGAAGGTGAGGAGGAAGACAGGTAAGGAGGGGTGCGGGGAGACAGGGTGGGGTGCAGACTAGCGGTGGGAAGAACGAAGACCCCCCGGGAGGCCCAAACAGAATAAGATGGACAACACAGCAGCTCAGCTCAGCAACTCACAGGGAGATACTCATCACCGACAGAAGCCTGGGTCTAGCCCAGAATGGGGACCCAGGGGATATCTCCCGAGTGCGTTATCATCGCCACTCTGTTAACATTTTGGATTATCTCCTTCCTTCCTTTTCATGCGTTGCCTTTTGCAAACAGTTGAGGGCATTTTTCTTTCCTTGATACTATACGCGGAGCATTTGGTCATGTCATTAAAATCTCTTCCATACTTGAACCCTCGGGCTTTCCCCTAACTTAATGTCCATTGTTTCTTTCCTCCCTTCTCTTCCCTCCTACCTCCCGGCTGGTTCAGTGCCCGGTGGATGAAATCGGCAGCCGTCTGGAAGTGGATGCTCATGTCAAAGGCTGGCGAGTCGTGGGCCTCGACACCCAGGTAGCGGATGCCCAGCCCCTCGTAGGCCTCCGGCGTCCCTCGCCACCTGCTGTGCGAGGCATTGAGGACGTGGGTGATGCCCAGGCGGCGGAGCTCCCGGCGGTTGTTAGCTATGTCCCTGCATTGGGTAGAGGTTAAAGGGAGGGTGGGGAAGCGAGGCTCTGGGGCGAGGAGCCCTTGTTTCCCCCCTGGCTGCTGCCTAGCTAATGTCATTGGCTCCATGCGTCTGCCTTACTTACTGATGACCCAGAGCGGGGACCCAAGATGGGCAATGACCCGGAGTCTCGTCCTTGAGCAAGGGTTGAGAGCACTGGGGAGGTTCTGCCTGGGGAAGAGAAGACTACGGGGTGGGTGAACAACAAACATGATAAAATATTGAGTGCTCTGAGGCGGCGGGGTTTGACTTGATCTATGGGAAGAATTCACTGGATCTGTACTTTGTGTAAGGAAGTCTGTCCCAGCCATGGAATCACGCTGAAGAAAGATTGAATGGTTTTCAATCATTGGCAGAGAATGATTTTCCTGCCACCGGGGTATTCAAGCAGAGGGAGGAGGTCAGTGTGGAGGCATGGATGTGGCAGAGGGAATTTGGACATCAGGTGGGCTGTTGGGCCAGCTCACATTTAACCTCCCTGGTAACCTTGAGGTGCTGTGATTCTGGCCCTTGCTCCCACGCCTAGCTCCCCTGTTACCTTACGCTCTCTTTGACACCCAGAACCTTCTCATGTTTCACCAGTTACTCCACACCCACATTTACCGTTTTATGATGTCACTTTCAGGTGTCCGTCTGGCCCACACCCCTCAGCTCAGTGGTAGACACCTCTCAGGCACCATGGCCATATCTCAGGGCAAATGCCCTGTCCAGTGCAAACTCCTCAAGTAGAAAGAGCACTGAACTTGAACCTGCAAGTCCTGGCTCTGCTACTTACGCCCCGTGTGACCTTGGGCCAGTCACCACTTCTCTGAGCTTCAGTTTCCTCATCTGTAACCTGGGGATAGTGGTACCTACCTCACAAGGCTGTTGTGAAGATCAAGAGAGAAAATGCATGTGAAAAACTCCTTGTACACTGTAACGCCCTTGAGAGAGAGAGGGGAGGACTACTCTTCCCGTGATGCTCTTCTCTCCATGGCCCCCATCTTCCAGAACCTCTGCACACATCGTGGCTTTGCCTGGTCAACCCTTCAGCTTACTACCCACTTCCTGGCTCCCACTGCCTGCCTTTTTTTTTTCCCCCCAGAATCACAGCACAATAGATGGAAGGTCAGAGAAGTCATCTATTATGTCCGGTTTGTAGCACTGGCACTCAATAATTAATTTTGCTAAATCAATGACATTATTACGTGAACAGAGACTTTCTGTCCAGAGTTGGGTATCTTCATAATCCTCCACTCTCTGTCCATGCACCCCTACCCCTCAGTCCTCAACCTGAAACCCACAACACGAGTCAGCGCCTCCCCTCCACCCTTCTCCTTCCTTCTTGCATGCATATGCGCGCGCACACACACACACACACACACACACACACACACACGCTCGGCAGTGACCCCGGGGCTGCCAGGTACATACTGGTCTCCGAGGTAGAGGCCTGGCCAGACCTCATCGGCATGGTTACAGGCTGTCTTGCCTGTGTAGAGGAGCCTCTCCAACTCAAAGACATTGAGGAAGGGATGTTGAACAGCCGGCATCTCTTCCAGGACCCCTCTAGTGCGAACAGGAGACCTTGAGCTACTCCGGGAGAAGCGGGCCATAAAAGTCATAGACGCCCAGAGCCAGTTACCGGGGCACATCTTAGAGGTGGCGGAAACCGTGCGGCAGCTGCAGGGGCGGCTGCCGTGAGGATGCGTCCGTCTCCAGGTGGCTGCTGCTGGAGGAGGAACGGATGGGAGGCACACCTGAGTGAGCCTAGGGCAGAGGCTCCCCTTCTTGCCAACTGGGCTGGGCCCCGGGGAGAGGATCCTCAGGGAGGGAAGGGAAGCCTGGCCCTAGCAGGGGGACCTCCACAATTATTCTGTCCTTCAAGCTGCCGCAGCTCCTTTCTGCTCTTTGGCTCAGCCGCGCAAGGAGGTGGGAGAGTCACATGTCCTTGTTTACGGGGAAAGGGAGATGCCCAGCTGCTGGCTTTCTGCTCCGCCACTCCACCCCCACGCCTGACACACGTACACAAACACACACACACACACACACACACACACACACACACACACACATTTGATATTTGGGTGGCCGTGCCCACTGCTGGAGCTCCTGCCAGCTTGAATCTGGGTCTCATCTGCCTGGGGCCACAGGCAGAGAGCTTAGGGAGCTGGGATGGGAATGAGGGGCGGCTTTGGACCCACCCAGAGAGAATTAGGAGGAAGACAGCAGCAGCTGGGGCCATGACATATGCCAAGCCTGTCTCCTCAGCGCCAGAGAGATGGGCTGCTTTAACCCACTGCTGCCCTATCACTGCCTCAGAGCTAACTAAGCGTGCTATGGGAAGTGTCTGTTGGGGGACGGGGTGAGTGGGGATTAGCAAAGAAGAGGAAGTGTACATTTTTGAAAAACACTTGCTGGATGCATGCGCTAATGGAAGAAGGCGCCGATCTATGTGCACGACAGACAAACCACCCTCCTTCGATCGGCGTATAGAAATTATTGATTAAACCTCATCTCTAATGTGAGGATTTCTGAGTCAAGCGAGGCTGGAGTAGTGTGTCTGGGTGTGTTGGGGAGAGGTGGAGGCTGGGGGGTTGAAGAAGGGGGAGGCAGGGAAAGGATGAGGGATCCTGCCAGGCCCAGGAGCTCAGAGGCTGCAGTGACCATCTGTGTTGCTGTTGGAGTCAAGTGACCCCTAGGAAGGGCATGGGATTGGCAGTGAGGGGCTTAGCATGTGTGCCTCGGGCTCTGTCCCTTCTGAAAGGGCCCTTCTGGCCAGCTGGCCCTTCTGAAAGGGGAAGCCTGCGCAGCGTGGGGGAGAGAGCCAGCCTTGGAGACTCTTCCTGGGCCCTTCAGGCAGAGAGACCACTTGGCAAAACCCCCTGTCTCCTCTTCCTCCTCCTTCTCTCCCACTGTGATGGAGGGCTGGTCCCAAGGGTTCCCCTTCCTGATCTTCTGCTCCCTACACCTCAACCAAAAGTCTGGTAGGGAGAGGCCATCTTTGACCTGCACACACTCTGGGAACCCATCCTTCATGGCCAGCCAGCACCCCCCCCCCCCCC